ATTATGCCCATATTACACAGATCCTTTAAACAAAGTGTTGAGAATGGTAATAATAATTTCTTAGATTTATGTGGTGCTTTATAATCCTCAAAGTATTTTTCTATATGTGATTATGACATAGAATCATAGATCTTCTATGTTGGAAGGACTTACAATAGTCATCTAATTTAACTATTATTTCTCTCAAAATCCTGATAAATAGAGTCTTTGCTTGCATACCCCAGAAACAGGGAACTCACTGTCCCCCAACTCAGTCCACTCCATTGCCTGGTAGATCAAACCCGTTTGTCTTGCTGTGGACAGGAATGTTGGTCCCTTGTCACCCTCCTTCCTTGGGGCCCACCTATGTAAATCTGTAGCATTTTCTGTGGGATGGTCCTTTTAAAAGAAACGTGTTCTCAAAGGTCTTCTTTTCTTCCATATCACGCCAAACATTTCCTTTCATCCCCTTTCTTAAAACACACTGTCACCAAAGTCTGTCGCTAAGCTAACATTTTAATAACAGCTCCCACTTGTGAACACTTACTGAATGTCAGCCACTGCACCATGCAGAATCATGCCCAAGAGCACAGGCTCTCAATACACACAGGCTGGAGTTGGGCTCTCAGCTTGGTGCTCATCGGCGATGTGAACTTGAGCAAGTTGTAAAACCTAAGCAACTCCAGGTTCCTCCTCTGTACATGAGATAGGTACTATAAACCAGAACAGTTAAATGAAATCATATGTGTGCTTAGAGTATGCTTGGCATACAGACAGCCCTCCACAGTGGTTGCCATTATCTTCATGGTGCAGGGGACTGGTATGCATAGCTTCATTCATTACTTGGAAAAACTTGAAGAGTCGGGAAATATTACCCAGTTTTACAGATGATGATATTGATTTGACTAAGGTCATAAAGCTAGCAGCAGAGAGACTGTTCAACCTTGGAGTTGACTTCCAAGTCATAACCCCCCTTAATAGACCCATAGACTCCACATCAAGAGGGAGTCTGTTTGAATTTGCCCATAATGCCTTATCATTTAAGCAGCAACTGATGCAGTGGCGAAATGGTGGTCTACTATACGGATTGCAGACAGAGGTTCTGGATCAGCCAATATGGAGTGAAATATTGGTCTTATCATTTAACCTTTGTGAGCCCATGTCACACTGACAGCTGTTGATTTTATTAACATCTCAAGTTCCTCATCTGTGAAATACTAGTATACACCTTTAGATTTGAGTCAGGACTAAATGTAATAATGCATGTGAAACAATTTCTGGGATACTACCTGACATATAATAAATAATAAATGTCAGGTTTGATGATTATTTCTCTAGGTCTGATAGCAAAATAGTAGCAAAAATAAGACTAAACCCATGCCTTCTTGCTCCTAGAGTCCTGTAAATATTGCTGCCGACTGTAATACTAATATCCACTGTTACTGCGTATCCACGGTGCACCAGGCTGGGTATTAGTTACTATTTACATATTTCTTCCCCTCTTCCCTAAACCTCTGAGACAGGTATGATAGGTTTTGTTTCATAGATAAAGAAACAGGTTCAGAGAGGTGACGGGACTTGCTCTGAGTAAAACTGCGTGGAAACAGGAAGCAAGAGAGACTGAATTCCAAGCAAACCTCTTCTCTCTTGTCTGCATCACACCACCTGTGTGACTGAGGCAGGCACAGGACTGCTCAGAGTAGCAGAAGCTGGGGCAGCAGACTAGATGAGATGACCCTCCACTCCCTTTTTCTGGCCCAGGGTTCACGGAGTACCTCTTTGTTGCATGACCCTGGGGATATTAACAGTCAGATGATGCAGCCTTCTGGGACAAAACTGATGTTCAACTCAGGATTTAACAAGCCCAGAAGAACATGCTAGTTCCACTCCATGAGCCATGGATTGTTACCGCTTCCAGTGGCTGAGATGGAGCTGGCTGCCCTGCATGGGGGCACAGGATGTTTGTCCTGCGAAAAGCAGATGGAGAACATTGACCCTGGCTTCCAGATTTCTTTGGCAGTTGACTGGATCATTCGGATCTTCACCAAAGATGAAAACAATGTGAAATTTGACAGTGGGAGCCGTGGTGTTGTGAGCAACCATGGGACATGACTTCAGATACCTGGGAAAAGCCTGATCCCAGAATCGCTTTCTCATTAGCCTCGTAGCCTTAGGCAAGTCAGTTAAACTCACTGAGTCTCAGATTTCTCATCTGTGAAATGGGAAGACAGATCCCAGGCACCGCTAATGACATTTTGAATGACTGCTTGTGGGGGAAGGGGAAGCAAACACTCTTTTTTGCTCTTGGTAATCATCTGTGGCCACAGTGGCAAGGAAAGAAGCTGAGCTGAGCTACAGAGGCTTGTCCTTCAGGCCAACCTCGCCAACTGGCTGGGGAATCCTGGACAACTTTCAGCTTGTATTTGGAGCTCAGTTTATCCATTTATGGAATGAAAGGGTATACTCTATCAGCGTATCTTGAACTTTTCAACTGAAGTGCCCCTACAAATGAAAGCTAATGGTCTTAGGTGCCATGCTCTTCTGATACGTGGTATACCTACGCAGTAAGTATTAGTATGAACCCTCATTTATTTGACTGAAGCAAGGCACAGAGGGATTAAATACTTTGTCCAAGATCACCCAGCGTGGTAGGTGGCACAGGGGGACTTTCCACGCAGGCACTTGGGTTCTGGGCTATGTTTATGACCTCCCCATCAATGGCCCTCTAGACAGAGGGCAATGTTCTCTGAGGTTCACCGCAGCTGGAGAGGCAGGGCTGCCATCATGAACACCTTGAGGTTCAAAATTTCCTGAACTTGACTGTCTCCTGGGGGTAAGGTGAAGACTGGAAAGACCCAGGCTTTGGAGCCCTACAGGGGGAAAAGACCCTCAAAGGGGCAGGACCACACAGTGGTAGCCTTGGGCCAATTTTGCCGTGAACAGGGAGGGTGTGGAGTGTGCCTACTCTGCCAGCCACATCCTTAATTATAGGGGTTTTCAGATTCATCTGGATCTTAGTAAAAATCCTGTTTCGGCTGAATTCCCCAGGCAGCAGAGAAAGTTGAGGATGACCTACCATCCTTGGGGAGAGAGTCTGACGTAGTGGGATTAACCCAGAACCTGGAGGCAGAGAAAGCCCACCCAGGACTCATTTATAATTGAGATAATGCTGTCTAGGTTACTGGGGCACGGTAAGGATGCATTTAAGTCAATGCCGTGCTGAAACACAGAAAATGCTTAATAAATACTAGTCAAAACCAAGTCTGACTCTCAAACATTCAAAGAAGAGCAGTCAAGCTCCCTCAAGCCTTTCAAATGGCAGATGGTGCCCCCTGCCCCATGAGGAATTAAGCAAGTACCCTGAGATGGTGCTTACAAACTTGCACCACAAAGTGAGCACGCAGGCCCCCACTGGGCTTTGCATGTGGCTGCACCAGTCGCCATATATTTATATGGGAAAAGTCTACCATGCTCATTCCATGAATAACACAAAGGCCTTGATTTGTTCCTCCATGTGATGAGCATGTGTTTGGTCCAAAATTAACACTGCTGTCTGGCTCGGGTGTGTCTGTGTGTGTGTGTTTTTCCAAAAAGAGAAAACTTCCAAGCTCTTAGTCAGCCCTGATCAGAATGTCTAATGTGCAGGGGTAGTTGAAGAGGAAACAGGAGAGCAGAGATCAAAAGCAAAGATCTTCTCCCTCATTGACTCTCAATAAATGTTGACTACTGAATGGAAGGAAGACATGAAAGGGTGGGTGGTAGCCCTTTACTGAGTGGCCTTATGCCAACCACTTCACCTCTCTGAGCCATACCTTTCTTACACATATGTTGGAAGTAACATTTCCTACCCTCATGCATCTGGCAGATCTATTCTAAAGAGAAAAGAAGAAAATAAGGTAAACAAACATGGCCTGAGAAAAAAAGAAGCTCTAGGGGGATGTCAGTAGCAGCTATTATCTGATCTCCTCTCAAGCCAATTAGATTCTGTACATTCTGCAAACTTAGCTTGTTTCTTTTCCCCGTCTACCATGCGAAGTTACTAAACACAGCTTTTTAAAGAAACCATTACTGTGAGCTTACATACACTTTAGACTAACATTTAAATGACTAACATTTAGTCAAAGTGAGTTCAGCTGCCTACTCCGAGGATGCAGCAGACTCAAGGAATTCCAAATCACGTGGCCAAGAGATGGAAGGCCACCGCACTCTGTGCCCATAACTTCACCTCTAATAGGGAGGTGACATGTCTGACTTCATGCATTATTGGCAAGAATGCAATGACATAATGTCCATAAATGGGCCCAGCAGAGTGCCTGATACATGGGAGATAATCAATAAATTCTTTCACTGAGAGAAACAGAGTGTAGATGACATGTCAGGCTTTGTAGCCAGACACACTGGGTTCAAATGCCCAGAGGAGCGCCATCTATTACTAGCTGCGTGTCCTTGGGTTAGGTGCTAACTCAGCACTCACAACTATACTGTGAGGGTAACTTGGGCTTCTGTGTGTGTGGCTCTGGCCACAGCCAGCCCAGCTGCAAGGGCCACTGTGCACTGTCAATACTGCAGGGGGTGTTCTGAGGGTTGAAACACCTGTACATCAAGGACACCTGGGAAAGGGCAGCCATATTGCTGTTTTGTTCTAATTTTGTTCAGTCACTCTTGGAAAGGCCAGTGCATTCCGGGGCAGTGAATCTCAGCCCTCAGCAAAGCAGACCAAGCACATGACAGACGTTAAACAGCTATTCCCAGCGATGTCGGTCAAAAGGCCGAAGAGTTGGAGACCCTTTATTTTCTTTTCCAAAGTATAATTAGTTTGTCACAGCTGACAGATGATGGATGTGGGTGCATCAGTTCATGTGCCCTCACGGACTACATCTGACCTTCTGTCTATCATTCTAACCTCTTGCACTTGGCCAGTTCTTTCCCTCCCTCTGCTAGCAATTCCCTTTCTCCCTCCATAATCTCCCCATCTTGACCTCCCACCCCTGGGGGCCCCTATGGTGTTCCCACTCACTCACCATCACAGAAATGTGGAGTATGTGCATCTGCTCCTCTACAATCTCCGAGGGCTCCTGGAGTGTAGGGGCGGTGGCCTGGGCCAGCTGCCCGGCACTGCTCATGGAGACGTGGAAGTACAAGGTGCCATTCTCCAGCCACTGCTGTCTCCAGTGCACCAGCGAGATGTCCGCCGCCGTGCCAGACATCTCTGCAAGACAAGACCCAAGGAGCTGGGTGAGCTGCATGCCTGGCCTGGGTGCTCCAGGGAGGGAAGGAAGCACACACATTCAGCAGCTCAGAAGGCACCTTCTTTGTACCAGGATGCCTTCCCCTACACCAAACCTATGAGCCAGAGATCATCACTTCCATTTAGAGACAGGTCCACTGTGGCCAAGATTCTCCCCAAGCAACAGAGTGACAGAGGCAGGACTTGAACCCAGATCTGTCTGGGGCCCTATTGTATATCACCATGGGATGTAAGGCAATTCATTCTACTCCCACAGCAGAATCACACTAGGCAAGAGGGGGCAGTGCCTACATTCTTTGGAGGCCATGGAACTGGAAGAAGGTGTACATCTATGAGAAGAGTGGGCATTCAGAGTGCGAATTTCTCAGACACTGAGATGAAGTGCCCGTGGCACAACTGCAGAACCTCAAAGCTGGGAAGACCGTGAGAACACCCGGCCCAGGAGGTACCTGGGGATCATCCTTTATAAGAAAGGGGCTCTACAAAGGGATTGTTCTGAACCTATTCTTCCTGCTCTGGTCAGAGCAGCTCCATTGTTTTCTAGTGTGCACTGCACTCCCAAGCAAAGGAATGTTGGCACAAAGGTTTCCATGGCTCAAAAATACTTGGAAAACCACTGCCCCATTCTGATGTGCTTATATAAACAAAGGGAAGGAGGGTTTTCTAGCAAGATGCAAAGTCACCTGACTCAAAGTTCTTAACTCTAACCTCTGTGCTGTTTTTCCCTCTGCAGATACTTAAAAAACATTATCATTTTCATAGTACTTTCATTCAACATGATCATAGCAACACAGTCTCTTATTAACTAAGAAGCGTGATAGCATTAGCTACCAAAACTGTCCTTCCACTGGGATCATATGATCTTTCCACAGTGCTATCTACTAAATGATTGTGTCCCTGGAAATGTCCCAGAATAATAAGGACCATCAGTGTGTCTTGTGAAGAAAGGGGAATAATCAGGTCTTCAATGAGGGAGAGCTGTGACAGGAGACAGGCAACCCATCAGTGGACAAGTAGCCTTAATGCCTGAGGTCTGGAACTTTGGACCCTCTTCCCAAGACACAGAGCTGATTCAGAGGCAGTATTTTGAGAGTCCCCAAAGACCTCATGTACACACGTGTGCATGCACACACACACATACACACACACACATGCACACACACGCTTGACAAGGAATGTTAGGACTGATAGATATCTCACCCAGTCAGCTCTCCCCGTGCCCCGCTGCAGCCCCCATCACATCTGGTGACGATGAATGACAAAGGATCACCCTGAAGTGATGATATTTGCTCACCAAATTCTACTGAATTATTCTTGTATCGTCCATTCCCAATAGATTCTAACTCCTTGAGGTTCCCAATCAACAGTCCTTAGGGAAAGAGAGAGCATCTGGCATTTGATAAGTGCTTTCAAAAAGTCAGGTATTAATATTTATTATCATTATTATTAGTAATAGGGACAGGATCTAATTTGCCTCTCAGCTGCTCTGAGAAAATCCTTGAGACATCCTTGACTGCTTGCTTTCCCTCCCACTCCTCATCTAGACCATGAGGAAATCCTTTAAAAGCCACCCAAAAAATGCATCCCTTCCCAGCTCCCCTACTGCAATCGCCTCGGCCCGGGCACCACCCTCTCTTGCCTGACTCACTGGAAGGGCTTCCGAACATGACTCTCTTCTGCCACCCTTGCCTCGTCTCTTCATTCTCAACCAGAAGCCAGAGGACCTGGGCCACAGCCTAAGTTAGCTCACACCGCTCCTCGGCGCGAAACCCTCAACGGCCTCCTGCCTCATTCCAAGTAAAAGACAGAGTAGCCAGAACAATGAAAGTTATTAGTCCAAATGGAAGCTTGCTCAGGCTTCCCTCGCTGCCCCAAGAATCGATCAGGGCTGGAGAGAATCGCAAGGTTCATCGGCTCTTGGAACGTAGGCCCCAAAGGACCCCAAGAGCTCACTCTGGAAAACTGGGGGAGGAGGCCGGCTGGGTGCCCGGGCTGGGAAGCACGTCTCTCCCCCGCACTTCCCTCTCTCCCTTGCCTCCCAGCCTCAGCACCCGCGGCCTTGGCAGCAGCTTCTCTGGCAGGCTGGCAGCTGGGTCAAGGCAAGGGAAAGACATTAGGGCACATGGCCTTGCTCAATACCTGGCTTACTATTCTCTCAGTGCCTCGAAGTCCAGAACCCGAGGGCCAGGAAACCCAGGGCTGCGGGCTGCCTCTCGAAATAGCTGTCTCTCATTCAGCAGCTCCAGAAGGGAGACCCATGGGCCTCCAGCTGGGCAGACACTTACTGCGCTGAGTGTCCCTGGAATGGCACCAGAAAGCCCCCAGGAAGCACAGACGATACAGACAGAGGCAGAGCAAGTGGAGGGAGGCTCGCTGAAGTCTGCGCTCCTTCCTCGAGCTCTCCCCAGTCTGGACCTAAAATCTCACCACAAAGACGCTTGTCCTCCCCACGTTCGGATTAGAGAAAGAGGGTCGCAGAGAGTCAGTCACCCTTGCCTAAGGTCACTGGTGAATTTGGACCCAGCCGGACCCAGTGGATTTCCAGTTCGCATAATTCTTACTGTGCCTGCTGATCTTACAACATCTCCTTTTCCTTGACTAAATTAGTGTGTGAACCCAAACCAGACTGAGCTCTTTGTTTGCTCCAGCGATGACTGCCCAGGCAGCAGACAGCAGACGCTCAATGATAATAAGTGTGTGAAACACAGTAAATATTGAATCACAGAGAACAGCTCTGGACTTACTCTATTACAAAGAAAAGAGATGGCCTTTGGGGTGGGGAGGAGGGGCAAGAGACCTCAAAGTGAAAACTGCCTTTGCAGAAGCAGGCCCTGGTCATTCGTTTGCTCATTCCTTCATTTATTCATGGATTTGTTTGTTCATTCAACACACTTCACTGAGGACCTCAACTGCAGGCAGTTTAGTAGCTCAGAATATGGAGTGTTATGAGATATAGCCTTGCCTTTCGGAAGCTCCTAGTCCTTTAACAGCAGAAATTCTTCCACACCCTCTCTCCCACCTCACTGCCCATAATGCACCCACTCCCCATTTACTGTGGCCCAGAATGCTGTGCTCTATCCTGAACCCACCTACTCCCGTCATCCCCACATCACGCACTCCAGCCCTGCAGGACTCACAAGTGTTCCTCAAGCTGACCAGGCTTTCTCTTTTCTCAGGGCATAAGTGCTTTCTGTCCAGTCTCTCTAGCACTCTCTTCCCAGAGCTTGCCAGCTGGTGGGTGGGCCTGGCGGCTGAGGGTCTCAGGGCAGTGAAGCTGCATCTATGAGCAGGAGTGCGGCAGTATGTCAGGGTGGAAGTGCTGTTCAGACTCGGGGTTAAGGACTTTGAATGCCTGGTGACAGAGCACGCTGTATTAGGCATGCAGTAGTGCATCGGTGGAGTACACTTGCTCAGAAAGCCAGTTCCTATGTCCATTAAAATCAGGCCACAGAAATAGCACATAACCAAGGCCAGCTCTTGAGAGTCCCTGCTGACTGATTTTCCAGTTGCATTTTCCCTTTTCTCTTCCCCTAGTCCTTCCATATAAACATTTCATTGAAGTCTTCAAGTCAAATTACAATCAAACTTAAAGCAAAAAGGGGACTAAACGCATTTGGTCGGGAACCAAGACGATTCCCATAAAGGCAGATTATGCTGACATGATGAATATAAAATGAAACAGCAGATATTAAAGTGGGAGAAGTGGTGTGCCGTGCCTTCCGGCGGTAGGCCGGCTCCGGGCCTGCCTCCCTCCCCACTGAGGAGTCTGGGTCTGTACTGGAATCATAAAGAAACACAGCGATTGTCTTTCCACCTTTCGCTGTTCTCCCCCTACGGCTGCAGCTCGTGAAATATTCAACAGACTCAAATCCCCTCAACCGTCCCTCTAAAGCCAAGCTGGAAGATCAGCCTTCATCAGGGATTCCGGGTAGACCGCCAGCCTGCCTCGGCAGGCACAGAGGCCTTTCAGCCTCCTGGAAAAGAAATAAAAATTCCCGAAGGCGTGTTGTGCTTTTAATTGGCTTGTTCTTCCTAATCTATAGCACTCATTGTATTTTTATTTAATTCCTGAAGGTCATTATGAAAATAAGCAGCACTTCTGATCACCAACCATCTTGGTAACATCTCCCAAGTGGCTAACTAACCCGTCTTCTGATTCCACAGCTCCAGCCGACCCTCCGGCAGATTATTTGCAGAAGGCCAGAGAGGATTTCTGATGAGTTTGCAAATGGTCTTTGCCTCACTGGGGGGAAGTCAGCAGACACTGTGTGAGATGAACTCACTGCCTGGACAGAGTTGGGAAAGACAGCGACATTGACTTGCACCATCCTTGACATTAGCTCTCCCAGCATTTGTGGGTGGCCAGCTCTGTGCACCCAGTTCTGCCGAGCCTGGGAAACACATCTCAGACTCGAGCCCTCATTTTCATCTTTACAGTGGTTGCCTTAATATAAACTTTGATCGTATCCCCTGAGAATACTTCAAATGGCTTTGTGCCAGTCAGGGTCTCATCAGAACAAAGAAGACAACTGAGAAGAAGTAAGGCAACTGAGAAGTGTTTAAGTTTGGGAACATTTACAAAGGTTTTGGAAGTCTATTAGGGTTCTCCAGAGAAACAGAACCAAGAGGACCCTACACATACACAGTAAGGGACTTATTGTGAGGGGTTGGCTCACATGATTACGGCAGCTGAGAAGTCCCACAACCTGCCCGAGGCTCAAGAAAGCCAGTAGTGTAATCCCTGTCCAAACATGAAGGCCTGAGAACAAGGAGAGCCAATGGTATTAAGTCCCAGTCTGGGTCCAAAGGCCCAGGAGTCAGGAGTACTGATAACCAGGGGTGGGAGAAGACGGGTGTCCCACCTCAAGCCGAGAGCAAGTTTGCCCTTCCCCTACCTTTTCTACTCAGGCCCTCAGTGGATTGGATGATTCTCACCTACGCTGATGAAGGACTTTCTCC